CGGGTAGAGAATCCCAAGCAGGATCCACACTGTTAGCACAGAGCTCAATGTGGGGCTTGAACTCACGAACCCATGAGATCATGACCTGAGCCAATATCAAGTGTGTAATTGGATGCTTAACCTACTGACCTACCCAGGCATCCCCCATCTTGGGCCCAGGGTGAGTCTGTTCTTCTCCCACTCTTTTGGGGGTTCTGGAGTGAGACTTCCACTCTCCGCAGATGCCCTCTTCCTTTACACTCCCAAAGATGAGCACCTGACACAGGTTTTGCCACTAATGTCTGCAGGGGAGCATTCTCAGAAATGTGGGGACACACAGAGATTCCGGAACCCTGAGACTATCTGACTCAATCAGTGGTCTCAAGCTCTCAGCCACCATTCTGGAATAGCGTTTAGAAGCTCTCTTGCTTATCCCCCTCATGCCCGAATGCCACCAATATCCCCTCCTTCAGACCCTGCCCTTGTCCAGGCCTTCCCAACTCTCCTCCTTACAAGCCATCCCCTCACCTGGAGACAGAATAGTGAAGCCATTGTCTGAGGTATGAACCCTACACTTCCAAGTGCCCACATGTATTTCTGGGCCCCCCAGTAGGAGATCTCTGCCCCACACAGGGATGGCCTCACTCTTAGTGGGGTGAAGGGCACAGGGGGATATGCAGGCCAAGTCTCCCCTGCCCACAGTGCCCAGAAATGCCGGGGCCTTGATAAGGCAGCACTGAGGCCAGAGTCCACACAGAGAAGCATTGTTCCAAGACTCTGCTCCGGGAACACACCTGCACAGCTTCTGGCAGCGCTCTGAGCGATGAAGAATGCTCCGGGGCTGCCAAGAAGTGGAAACAAGGAAGAGAAGAAAAGACTAGAAGTTCTCCCAACTCGACAGCAAACAAGAGCTGCCACCAACTCACAAATGGGAAAGCGTCGTAAGGCAGGAGGATGTCTTCCAATCTCTTCTTTGAACTCCTGGTACCGTTGACTCAGGCTTTGTATGTCCACCCGTGCATCATGTCCTTCTCTCTCTCTCTCTCTGTGCTCTGTCTCTGCTCTGTTTCTCTCTCTCTCTCTCTCTCTCTCTCTCTCTCTCTCTCACACACACACACACACACACACCCTGAAAACAGCACCAAACCTCAGAAAGATTTTCTTTTACAGTCCTGACGCTGAGCTGGATACAGCTAGGGGACAGAAGACTCCAGGGAGAATATTTGGGGATTGTATAAAAAGCACATTTGAGCACCGATGACTTTGTTCCATCAGACCGTGTAATCACAGACTGTAGCAAAACCACTGAAACACATCTTGATACTTCCAGGCCCCCTGGAAATGCTAAGCGCAGGTCTTTTCGGCCAGCAGAGATGAAGTCAGAGCCCCCACGCCCTTCTCCAAACGCGGAAGCAAGCCCCACAAGCCACAGCCAGCAGCCTGCGGGCCTGATGTGCTCCGAGTGGGAAGATCCATGGGATTCCAAAGGCAGAGGCATGTTCCACTGGGACCCAGTGGTTAACCCCCACGAGCCATCTTTCCCTCAAGACAGCTCATCGCGAGTACTGCTAAGCCATCTCCTTGGTATTCATTGCCCTCCACAGCCTTCAACTGGCGCTCAATCTGGACACGGAAAAGGAGAGAGACCTTGGGTAACACAGGGACACAGAGGCCCCCAGGAACGGCCCAAGCTTCCCTGAACAGCCAGAACCACCATCTGTGGTAACAACTCTAATGTCTTGAGCACAGACCTCCCCACACCCGAGGATAACGATGAATAAGACAAGACTTCTGGGGGAGTCAGGCTACCTGGGCAGACAGGACCATGTGTGAAGAGATAACTAATGAGGAAGACAGCACAGATCCAGGAAACCTGTTCAGAGGACAGAGACCCCTGCCAGCCACAGCAGTTGGGAAGGTTTCTTGGTGAGGGAGGCTCACCTCATTGAAGAATGGATCAGATTCCAGACGACTCATATTTCCACATCACAAGGGCCAAGAGGAGGCAGGGAGCTCTGACATCAAAAAGAGGATAGGACAAGAATCTCCCGACAAGAGGCAGCAAAGATTAGGGAGCGACATTCCTCGGTTCTAACAGAAGTATCTTAGAGAGAACAGCATTTCTTGCATCTTTATTTTATTTTTATTTTTTTGAGATAGAGCATGCAAGAGCAGGGCAAGGGCAGAGAGAGGGAGAGAGGGAGGGAGAGAGAGAGAGAGAGAGAGAGAGCGAGAGAGCGAGCAGGGGAGAAGGACAGACGGAGAGAGAGAGAAGCTTAAGCAGGCTCTACGCTCTGTGCAGAGCCCTGTGCGGGGTTTAATCTCACGGCCGTGAGATCATGACCTGAGCCAAAATCAGGAGGCGGACGCTTAACTGACTGAGCCACATAGGCGCCCCAAGAACTGGTATTTCTTGACCTTAGTACTGTCATCTATAAAAGAGAATTATCATCCCTTCCGGTCTCCATCCTTCCCTTCCAGCTATAACCCCTGGCCGCATTCTTGGGGATAGTTTGAGGAAAATAAATGTGCCTCCAGGTCCTGGAAGAGGCGCTTCTGGAAACAGAGGACGTGACTGTAAGGAGAAATGATGGAGACAAATCATAAGAGGGGTCCTTCTCCAAGGAGGGACCCCTGAGCCAGGACGGAGAGAAGGTTCCTAGGACCCACCCTCAGCACCCAGACTGCGTTAGTTTCCCAGTTGTTGTAATAAAGTACCTTGAACTAGTGGCTTAAAACTGAAATTTATTTGAGTTCGGAAGGCTGCAAGGCTGATAAGGAACTCTTTGCCCTCTCACCCCAGAGTTGCACGTAAGACGCTGAGATAATGTGGAGCTCTCTACTTAACTGCCCCCGAGGCTAAGGCCTGGGGTAAGGGCGGAGGCTGGCACCCAGGGTACAGAGCCTGGTTTGCAGTGGGCCCACAGGCCTCCCTCGGGGTCACTCCCAGGTCAGCGAAGACCAGCTTCTTGCCCTGAATGACCACAGCCACTTCTGAGGCCCAAGGGGAAAGCATGACAGCCTGTGAATCTAGGAGC